AGACTCTATAGTATGTTGGCCACTGGTCGTATCTACATGTGTCTAGTTGGCCCAGCTGGCATGTTAACGTTCCAGAAAAGAATGAACTCAGGGCAAAGTCTAAAGTCTTACTGAAGTAGAATGTAATCAATTCAAATTATAGAAGCTTTATTGACATAATAGAAAGTACAGCAACTTCCTTATGTTTAAAAAACAAACTACGAAATAGAAATACCAAAAAAATCTTTAAATTCTACTTACTGAACAATAAGGATTAACATACGTGTAAGTAGTAAATCTATAGTATATTATAATAAAGGGTTAATGCACTGCCCCGAGTTGTATATGGTGTCATAACTGCATGAGCAGCTGCCATAACCACCGAATAAACCACCGTGTGAGCGAAGCGAACGAGGTGGTTTATGAGGTGGTTATGGCAGCTGCCCATGCAGTTATGACACCATATACAACGAGGAAAAGGCAGTGCATTAAAATTATTATCATATAGCCTATCCAAACTGTCAATCAACACAATTCCTGTTTGAAATACAACAGCTTTAATATATATACATACATAAAAATACATTCGAATATATTATACGCTTTAAAACAAATCTGGATAATTTCATTTAATGCAAATTGTAGTTTAAATAAAGCTAAACAAAACAGTTTATTGGACAGAAAAATGCTACAAAGGTTTACAGAAAGAGTCGCATGCCCCTATACCCTATAACATAATGGTATCAGCCATAACACGACATGTGCTGTTATTCCGCCATAACACCACATGTGCTGTTATCGGGAAATAACAGCACGGTTATCCGGGCCTCTGATTGGTCCACGCCGTCCGGCTATATGATAATGTCATATATCAAATATCATATCATAGATGTATTGTTTTATGACATAATCATTGGACACACTCGAAACCGACTTCAATACTTTTAAATCGTTCAAGGAATACAAAGTGATTCGCATTTAATAAAATTTTTGATTTTGCCTTTCTTCATCATATCATATTATACAGTTATTTCTCAATGATGCCAGACACACTTGAAACCAACAAAGTGCCTTATCCGAACAGTGCTTTGCGACCGTTTAAGATCATTAAGGGGTATGAAATAACACCTGATACCTACCGGTAGTGTCTACCTCTTTGCCGTCCACAGTAACATTACACTCCAGCTGGGGTAACTCCGGCATGGCAGACGTGGTGTAGTCACGGGCGGCTTCACGACACTTCATCAGATCTCCGGTTGAGCCATCCTTACTGGACACCACTGTGACAACGACTACGCACCACAGAGTGACGCTAAGGCCTCTTGATAGCACCACCATTGTGAACTGTTCACTACTGCTGCCTGTACAACGTCCGTTGTTCAACGGACTACGTGAGACTGAGGTTAACGCGCGGGCTTCTTATCAGTTTTGCGTGACTCGGCAACTTGGAAATCACTTCCTGTGCTAGCTGCGCAGGCCTGTTGGAGCGGTGCCAGGGTGTGTTGTCCATCTTGGCAGAGTCCGGAGCTGTACTGTGTCTGCCGCTGCGAGATTGTGTCTGTCTGTCTAGTACGTAGCTGCACTTGTCAATATAAATCTGAGGGGGTGGGGGTATATGGTAAATAGTTATGGCCGCATGCATTACTGTAGCCTGGGTACCATCCGGACTTTCGTTGCGGAGCGAAAATCCGGATGGTACTCAGGCTAGCATTACTGTTGGATAGTTTCTTTCTAGACCCTTTACACTCTCAGATAATGCAAAATCACACATCCATGAAATAACTTGAGATTGTCAAAGGAAACACGTTTAGGCTGTTTTTTTTTGCGACAAAAGTGACGTTTTTTTTTATCAGCCCCTGAGTCATCATGGTTTCGGTGACCCTCTTGGTCCTTTAGTGACACCAGGAACTGTTCTACGTAAGACACCGGATGTGTATGTTACGTCAGTCACCGTCCGCGGCCGTCGGAGTTATTACGTCACACGTGACGTCACTCAGTGCTACTCGATTTGTGAGCTGGTGGGCATTGATGATAGACCTGGAGGGGTTAGGGGTGAATGCTGCTGTTTGTAAATGGAATATGGATCTAGTGGATACAAACGTGAGGGTCATATTCAACCTCATATGTGTGGAATGAAATGAAATGACAGCACGTTTCTGGCAAATTTTTCTCGACATCCTGTTATACAACATACATGATATCATGAAAATCCTACATAGGAACACACAACCTGCTCACCAATGACTACTCTTACAACGTTTGAACTGACTTTTCAGTATATTACAAAATGACTTATAAATTAATGAATTATTTTATGAAATGATACATTATATCTAAACTCTAATAACAACAAAATTATTTTGACTGTCCTCTCTATCTCTGCTATGGCATCTTTTTGACAACTTGACAATTCACTTCAGCATTGTATATGGAATAAGAATTTAACATGATAGTTGGTTCATACTGTAAGTCTCACAACAAGCGACCTAAAACTTGGTAACATTTATTCCTTATTTGTAGCACCGTTCGTTTGAATAGATTTGGATGAATATAGCACCTTGTGATGACTACATGTACATATCTGCTAACATATGTACTACTAACATGGCCAGAAAACATGTACTCCATTTTCATATTGTTAACTTCTCAAATATGAGTCCTAATGAAAGGGCTTTTTGTATTTTACAAAGTCTTTTAAAGTGTTATCAATAAGTATACAGCGTTGAAATTATACATTCACCAAGTATTTAGTAATATATTTAAAGCTTCCTCTTTCTCTTTTCTATGAAACAGACACCTTTTTATAAAGAACAATCTAAACTAGCTAGCTGCCTTTCTTAAACTACTAGTATTTTGTGGTAATTCAAATGTATCAAAGGAGCTTATGAAGCAATACTGATAATACATGTACCGTTACACCAATCAAATGTAGTGATTGTTTCAATGCTTTCGTTCAGTTTTCGTCTATGTTATTAGCAACAGAAAGCTGCTATTTATAGCAAATAATAGATACAGACTGGCCAATCCTCTTGATTCTCGTCTCGTGTATTCTCGCGAGAGTTTCTTACATATGCCTTACAGGGCGGCGATATAGTATGACGTTAGAAGTTCATGAGGGCAAGGACCTCAATTTCTTGGATCGACAAGACGTCCCAGGAATAAGACGGCTCCCGTTCTCTTGTCTCGTATGAAGAACATGAAGGGGTGATCCGCTCTGAATTCAAATCCGCGCCGACTCCGGGCCGTTACTGCTGCGGTCAGTGTAGTAGCGCCCTCTGCCTCTTCTTGGCTGACCTGCAAGGTAAGATGGCCCTTGGTGTGTGGTTTGCTGCACGCTTCTTACGGAATATTACATCTATTTAAAACGTCTTTTTACATTTCTTTATAGCAAATAATATATGGATATAAATGTCTGCTGAAAGACGTCAAAATATCTTTCCTACTGATAGACAGCTAGAGACTAGGATGGAGACTCCAGAAATGTGCCTGATCCTAACACTAACCCATTCAGGCATAGAAATACATTTGTATATAGATAGGCACGGTTCTGCATACGATAGAGACTATCCAGAACCGTGCCTGCTCCTAACCCTAACCCTAACCCATTCTGGATCCGATCCGTACCTCTATGACGGCCTTGTGCAGCGCGTCCGACACGTGCATGCCGGGCTGTGCCGTCATGCCGGACAGATCTGCGCGGTTCTGGGAGAACAGGTCGTCCAGCCCCATGGCGGTGAGCTGCGCCTTCAGGCTGAACTCCTCCGTCAGACGGAACTTCGGCAGGAACACAGACCCCTCCAGGGGCAGGTATCTGGGACGGAAGGCGGGAACAATTTTGTTTTATTTTCTTACCCATATAATAAACTCTCCATTCTATTTTTTAGCAATGGCAACGGCCTCGTGTACGTAATTTCTTAAATTTTCTAATCAAAGTTGGTTTTCAGCTTCAGAAAACATCTATGTAACAAGATATAACGTTCTTGTTGTATCTTTGTATAATTTCCCAAGAGACCAGGACGCTTAGCTTGACGTCGGTAAATTGAAGGTTAGACACCCAGAAACATCCAGAAACACCAATAGCATCCACAATCTTTACCAGTGTCACTGGTGAAAGGTAGTGGATTCTACCTGAAACGTCTGACCAAATGGCAAATCATATCCAGTTGCTTGAGTAACGTTTTTGGCATGCTAGGACAGAAATTAACCATTGGATTTCTGTCCGTCTCTAATTGTACATCTCTATGATGTCAGCTCTACATCAGAATATAACAAGTTCTTTTGTGGGTGAGTTTAAAAATTACATAGAAAACCACCTGCGAAAGATCCTGTTCAGCGCTCTTCTGGTCAGCTGACTCTGGAGACGATCCAGTCCGTCCCTCTGATTGGGCAGGATGATATCCATGACGATCTCGTTCCCAGAGTAGGGTAGCTCCACCGCAGCGCAGTCCAGATTGGGGTCTTCTGTTACGTTAAACTCACCACTGGAACATGTGGGAAAGAATTGTAGCAGAAATGTACATTTCCTACATTATTATTAGATTAATATGTACATTACGATGTTTGAAATCCGCAGGGCATGTGTTGAATTCTGTATGTATGTAATTTGGTCATTGTACAGCAGCCAAATTGCCAAAATCGAAAACGTAATTAAAAAACTAGATGTAGGATTTTTAAAACGTCTCACGCACAGTTTTGAAACAAATTGAGTACCCTGTTGGCCAAATAACCCCAAAGGATACTGTACCTGGCAACTTTTATTATTTTCAGATAACGCATAGTTTTTGGTAAATGACAGCCAAGGTTTTACGTACCTCAGTTGCATCATCGGAACGTTCTCTGTGCGTTCGGGTGTGACGTAGAAGTCCGCCATGTTGATGACCTGAGGGTCAAACTCCGTTCTCCACTTCCCCGCGAAGTACACGGCGTTCACCAGCACCAGTTTGGTCAGAGGCTTCAGCAGACCCTGTGTGGGTGAGTCATGTCACACGGGAACGGTTAGGGCCCGGTTAAATACGTCGAACGGTCGCAAACTAACTTAAAGTTAAACTTAAACTATCATGAAAGTTCATCTGTGTTAGTAGTTACATGTTTAAAGTAAAATTCTTAGATGTGTCACAGCACATTTACATCGAGTCACCGCGATGGGGGCCGAAATCGTCTACCAGATATCTTTGACCCAGTGTCGACGTCACACCTCAAAGAAGCCACGTGACAAGTCTACCAGTCTACTGAGGAAGGCCAGGGTGACTGGGCGAAAGTTCTAGGTGCGAGAATTTTTTTGTGTTGGATCAAAAGTTTTAACTTTAAGTTTAACTCAAACGGCCTTCTTGTCAACCGTGTATAAGGTCTGACCTGTGGAATGACGCCGTTGACTTTCCCGCCAGTTTTCCCGGCCACCCAGGAGTTGATGGCGAGTCTGGCCATCTCCTCGTCCGAGAACTCCACCGTGGCGAGGGACGAGTGGTAGTGCCGGGACGTGTCCATCAGGAAGTCGTGTCTGAAACTGGACAGATGGAGATTTATTTAAGAGCTTTAGAAAAAAGACTAAGTACCAAACTAGTAAATAATTGTTGGACATAAAGTTTAGCCTTTTTTTCATATTGTTGAGGAGCTGTTCAAACCAGCCTAACAAACTACTGCTCTGTTTATTCTTACTCAAACACATACTGTTAATAGCACATGGTGAACAGCCCATTCAGCTATGTCCTACCACTTGCTACATAATGTAATCCACCACCAGCAACTATATGGTGACAGCCATCTGGTCCAGGTCACTAATCTTTGGCCTTATGTGTTTGGAGAAGAAGAAGCTTAAGGAAAAGACTAAAACAAGATGTTTTCCTTCTGCGAAGGTATAAAACATAAGATCATGTTGTCTCTACCTCATTCCCGCCTGTCCGAACAGGCGGTTGGCCTGCACAAACGTGTACTGCGCCTCTTTACCGGAAGTTGAAATGACGTCTTCGACGGCCGAGAAGGTCGAGTGCATGTCGGCCTCGTTTCGGAAGTGGTGGAACCTCAGAACCTTCTCCATCTGGTACCTATATAAGAACAAAGTATACGTTTTTACTTCTCGGAATGCCGGGATGGAAGTACTGTTTTTGTGGCACTGGTTTAGGGGATTTGTATGTATCTTGTCCTCACCAGCAAGGAGTGGCATTGAGAGGGCGGTATATCCTTGGTAGAAGGATGTAGTATGAGGTAGCCAGCACTGTGTATTGTGTAATCATGGTATGATATGACAACGTACGAAAACGTTTTGAGCTGTACGTTGTATCCAGGACCGTGCTTTGTCCAGAACCATGATCAGGCACGGTCCACACATACCCAGAGCGTGCCTGGGGCAAATCTTGGATACGCGGAGACTATCCACAGACCGTGCCTGATCCTCATCTTAACCCATTTAGGAATAGAACTAGATAGGCACGGTTCTGGATATGATAGAGACTATGTAGAACCGTGCTTGGTCTTAACACTTACCACTAATCGATTTGGTCATAGAACCTGATATGCACAGTTCTGGATATGATATAGACTATCCAGAACCGTGCCCTGTCCTAACCCTAGGCCCGGTTCTGGATACGACATACATACCGTGTGTTCCCCCTAGCTCCTATGTATGTCATGGCCATGGCTGCTGAGATGCTGAGTGGGGAGAAGACGATGTTCCTGTCCGTGCTGTCACACAGCCGCCGGAACAGCCCCAGCGCGAACCCGCGGGTAGACTCCACCAGAGAACTCAGCACGGACGTCGCCTCCCAGGACGTCGTCACACCTACAGTGTATATATGATGCTCCGTGAATAATTCCACCAGGTTGATAAATGATTGAATGCCAAACTTGTTTATTCACAACCAGTTGTTACGAGTAGACGTTTCGATGACCGTCTGTCATCTTCGTCAGGGCAATTATGACTGCACAGTGAATCATTGATATTTACCCTGATGAAGATGACAGACGGTCATCCAAACGTCGGCTCTTGTAAACATGTGAGCTTAATTTACATTCAATCATTTCCCATCTTCATTGCTATACTATTCTGTAATATTATGTTTCCATGCTTGATTCAAATTTACGCCATGGGCGCACCGACCTGAAGATGCGGATACCGTCCTCTGTCTTCCTCGTAACCTTGCCGGCGGTTTTCGACCTAAGAAATGAAGAAAGTAGTCATATTGATACCATCAATTAAGTATATTGAATGTTCAGTTTCTAAAGTCTAGGTGCAGCAAAGTTTTTTTTACCATTTTTGATCTTCTTTTTCCCTCCTCTGTTCGTCCGGCCATCAGCTGCAGTAAAAGATTTTCTGTTAGTCGACGAACTGATATCAGGCTATCGTTAAAGACTCAAAATACAGAAAATGAAATGAAATCACAATTTCTCATTGTTTGTTAGGGTGCCTAATCGCTCTGTGAGGCCACTGGCCGTCTAAGGAAGTCAGGAAATGAATCGTACTTCTGATTCGGACAATGGGGGACGTCACTGTTGTTCGTCGGCCGCCTGTTCTCGACGTACCTGTTGTTTCAACAAACAAGACAACATAGAAAAGACAGATATGAATAAAAATGTTGATTATTAATTGAGACACGTTAGAAGAAGGTGATTAACTATGTATTTGCTTCTGAAAGCGAAACATGCTTCGTAAAAAATCTTTTATCACACTCAATGATGATTTTGTCATTTACCTACGAAATTTTCAAATTGTTCCTTTCTTCATTAGCTTTGCCTTCTATTTGAGATATTAAAGTTAAAGATAGTCTCATAGCCTTTTTCAGCCCTAAGGGGCAGTGGGTTGGATATTACAAAATTATTATAAGCTATGATCTAAAGTCTTGTAATTTCTACACAGAAAGTTAGGTAGACACAGAGGTTCGATATACCGCACCCACTGATGAGTCGCCCTCCAGATTCGCACTGTCTGCTTCGTAGGTCTTTCTGACGTCGCCGTGTTTGTTTCCTTCCACTTCTGCATTCTTTTCTTCTGTCGTTCCTTCCACGTCGTCTTCCACGCCTTCATCCCGCAGTCTGTCGTTCTGTCTGTCGGGAGGCGGGTCCGTTGTCTTGGGCGGAGGCGGTGGAGTTGGCGGTGTAGTGGGCGGTGTAGTGGGGGGGACGGTGGGTGTAGTGGTTGGTGTAGTGGCTGGTTGTGTGGTGGTTGTTGGAGCAGTGGTTGTCCGGAACGTAATGATTTCAGGTGGAAGGGTGGTCAGAAATTCTTCATGGGATGCAGATTCTTGCTTTGGAAGAATAACAAAATATTAGCGTAATATACTATATATTATGGAATATTTTGAGCTATTCTCCAACGCGAACAACTACTAGTATCCAAATCTTTAACGGAATCAGTCTGTCTTCCTCGGCTATCTGGCCCAATGGGTGTGGTCACGTGATTTTGTGACGTCAGCAATGGGTCAAAGGTCGTCGGAAATCGATATGGTCGGAAGTTGATATCGCCCCCCGTCACGGTTGAGAGGAAAAACTTTCGGTAAGGAATTTTTTGAGCTGTAGAACTCATATTTTACTAACGCACGTAGACTTTCATGCCAAGATTATCTTGTATATTAACCTTGACTATAAATGAAACGTTTTTTTGTATTGATGCAAAAACAGTGCAGAAACGTGGCCCTACCCGTCTCGCGTACTGCACCCACTGCAGACAGTACCGCCGGACGTACTCCAGACCCTGCCGGATGTGCTCCTCGTACAGACTCGCCATGATCTCCTGACTACAGCCCGACGTGAACAGGATCTCACCGTAACACCGGTACAGCCCGCTCTGCGCTCTATAGTGATACAGGACAATACGGGTTATAATATCTCACTTTAACAACGGTACAGCCCGCTCTGCGCTCTGTGAAAATAAGCAAATATTATCGGATTTTTTTCGGACTAGCGAATGTTAAGAGTTCGTAACAAATTGGATGACACAGGTTGTGTGGGTTTTGTTTTTGGTGTTTGCTTGTGCGTCCGTTTCTATCGGGTGACAGGACGTAAGATGGGAAATGGTGTACCTGCAGACTGATAGGAAGGTCGAATTGGAGGTCAAAATGTTTTCTGCATGCTATGAGCGCACGCCCCTCACCATCCCACACCTCCTGACAGCAGCCCAAGACAGGACAGTCTGGCACAATCTCTGCCTTGTCCCCCTACGACCAGTGTCGGTCATGGGACTAGGTATGTATGTATGTATAAAGAAGCAACAGCAGAATATGTACAGAATTATCGAGAATCCTAGAATTGTTGACAGTTAATTACCTGCAGTACTCCTGCGGGTCGTTATGAACGTTCCGCTGTGACGTCCTCTGAAAGTCGTCGAAACACTTGCTGACGCCCGCCTGGAACGTGCGCCGGCAGCGGCGGTCTGGCGGGAAGACAAGGTGACAAACTCAGAACACATTCGTCGTAAGATTTTCATACTATTGCAACTGAGAGCATTGTTGGGGTTGTCGTGCATGTGTCGCTAACAATTAAGCTTTCTTGTTACCCAAAAGGCTTCCCTAGAGCCTAGTCGGCGGATGATTCAGTCGTAGCCTGCTTTGAAATCTTACAGCTTCAAATTTGATTGATCGTACGACGAATCTGACTGCACCGTTACGAAAAATACCACACAGCATTGCAGCATACAGCATTTATTTACTAGTTTAAAAAATGCCCAAATTTGTAACTGGCTGTAAACTCATCACATCACATACCTGGATCCTCTCTACAGCGGCAGACCTCACACCCGGAGTCGTCCTGGTCCAGACCCCAGTCACAGTGCATCCACTCACAGTCGGGCGGCCGGCAGATCGGCGTCTGGGCCTGCGCCGCTCGGAACGATACTGCATAGTCTGCGGCAATACAGCGTAATAACGGTGCGTTAGCTGTTAGTAACGGGACGGAAATATTGTTTTGGGTGGAGCTAATATATGCTAGGGTTGTATGTTTGGGTTCCAAAGTGATCATGAGTGGGCGGAGATTGGGCCTCACTTGATTAACAGGGTTTTCACCCGGTATGTGTTCAAGGATGTTCTCGCCAGGAATGTATGAATCATAAACCATGGTGCAATAGACCTTGAATAGTGGGGTAAGTTTCACCATACAAACGCATGAGTATTTTATAATGCAATTCATGTCTTTATTTTACGCTTCATAAATATTTCTATTAAGTAATTATTTGAACCCCACTGACCTCTGCCGGGTGGTTCGCACTCGCAGACCTCACAGTCATAGTCGTCTGTGCGGTAACCATGGGAACAGTGGAGGTCACAGGTCAGCTCCTGACAGAAGGTGGGCAGACGGCGGGACAGTCTGTTCTGTTCCACAGGCACTGCAGACGGAACAATGGTTAGTAGAGTTTCTAAAAATAAAAAAAAAACTTCTTGCACATCTCAAAGAATTTGCAGAAATAACAAAAATGTCCTATGTCAGCTACTGCAATGACTACAGTACTAATCACTGCAACAACAACAACTAAGATCGTGCTGAATCTTGAACTTTTCATCTAAACAACTTCTCGACGGTAATTTCAAAACTCTCTTTATGACAAAGAATCAAATACGTAGCACATCGCCATCACAATAATATACAGTCGAATCCTGAACAGTAGAAATCGCCTAACTTGTATAGAGCGATGTGATAATAATTGATCTCCATGCTGCCTAACCCCATAACCAATGCAGGCTACCTTAGCAGGCTGAAGTTTAAACTTTTTTTTACAAATACCTTCATCTTTACACGCGCAAATCTCACAGCCGTAGTCGTCCTCCCTGTATCCTCCCGCGCAGCTCAAGGAACAGTCCAGGTCCTGACATCCGAACCCGGAACTTTCCGGACCGTCTTCTACTCTGTAGAACAAGTACCCGCTTCCTAACTCGTTGTCTTCTTCTACTATTGTCTGTTCTGTCGTTGTTTCTGCCGGAACGGTCGTTGGTGCCATGGTTATTGTTGTAGCTATTGTTGTTGTTGTTGGTACTGGGGTTGTGGGAAGGACGGCAGTTGTGGTCGGCTCTGCTGTCGTTGTCGTTGTTGTTGAAGGAATGTGTACTGTAGTTGTTGGGATGGCCGCTAGGAGGCGTATTGAGGTAGAATGTTAGTGAGTTCTTACAAAATGAAATGGAGAAAATACCGACATAGATTGATCTACATATGATTAAAATACGTTCAGAGAATTAGGCAGTATCAATTATCCTAAGAAACGGTTACTTACGAGTGGACGTCGTCAAAGATGGCGAGCAGTCATCCCCTGAGGATAAGAGATGTAGTTATAAAACTTTTAGTAAACACCCCTCAGCAATATTCAACTATTCCATGATCATCTGTACTCACCATAGGTGGTTTTAAAATGGTTACATATTATAGCCATCTGTTGATCTATGGCTTCTGACTAATTAAGAACTGCCTATATTGACTAAAAGGAGTAGCGTTATTCTAACCGTTATGTGGTGTGTTGGTGAGGCGGTTGTACGGAATCACACACACGGTGTACAGCTTCTGGTCCAGCCGTTTTCTAGTCTCTGCTGGGAGGGTGGGCTTCCTGCCTGTGAAAAATTCACATTTTCACAACAAATCACGTGATAACTAGAACATAACAACAATAGTTTGTACTTAGCATATCTCTTCTGTACATAACGTCTGTAATTTTTCTCTCACGGCCAGTGGAAGATTAGCTTTTCAGTGAGCTAAAGCTGGATCGAGATTGTTTTCTTTTCCTTTCCCGACAAAGTTTTTTTGTAAGAGACAAATGAGGTAGTGTGACTTGATGCGTTGTCTTTTGTGTTTGCTAGTGTACCTACTGAGTATCCATGCGAGGTTCATGTTCCTCCGGCAGGTCCCGTCCGAGTTCCTGACCAGACAGTTGTAGAGTAGAGCGTAGTTCTGGTAGTCCGTGTCTAAGATCCACAGGTCACCTACGGGAAGAAAAATCGTCATGTTTCGTAATGGTTAGGGTATTTGGCTCTGAACCCATAGGTACGGGGTTCGAATCCCCTGACATGCCTAGTCGTTGTGCCCTTCGGAAGGGCCCGTTTTCCTCACTTCACTCAGGTGTGATTAAGTACTTAGTTTCGGTTAGGGACGTCCCTCGACTAGGGCATTAAATGAAGGCCCGTGTTTGATCGAAGAGAGCCAAGCCTCAAGCACGTTAAAGAACCCACCACACTTATCGAAATTTAGTAGGGGCATACCCCTGTGTGAGTGGTTCAAACCTTACAGTCCTATGGCTGCACCTCGAGTCTTTGAAAATGCAGCTCGTTAAATGGATATGGATACACGCTGTTCTTACCTTCGTCGAACGGGTAGTTGAACCCGGCGAACTTGTAGGTGAGTTTGGCGGGAGGATCGTAACTGGTGGTCATCAGACGGCCTGGGATCATCAGCTGACACCGACCGTCACTATGGAAACGGAAGGGGAAACGGTCGGAGATCAACTTGTGAGACACTGGTGATACTAGCTGCTTTGTGGAATTTGTGCAACCCTCGTAAAGCTATACCTCTGTTTACTGCATATTGTATCATTGTCCAGTTACCAGGCTGGTTCTTGAAGATGGACTCCGGTTAGTTGGGCAGTCCTGGTCGACGTATATACCTCTTTTCATACAGGCTAATAAATCAAATCTATGTCAAGCTTTGTATTTAAAGCTGGTGTTTTTTTAGTAACCGACGTATCTGCATTTCGAGGAAGCTCCGCACTGTGTCGCTAAGGCAAGCGAACAAACGAATGAATGAGTGATAAACGAGCATACGAATGAATCTATGAATTAATAGATCATGTATGGATGGTTTACTCACAGTTTTCCGAAGTACGAGACGGAGGCGTCCCTGCCGTTGGGCTTGACGTTAAACACGAAAGCGCCCCCTATCGACACCAGGTCGGGATGGCCGCGGAAGGAGTGATGTCTGACCCGGGCGATTTCGTACCACTTTCCGCCGAACTGAAGGGACAGAGAATAGCAGACAAATTTAATTTCTAACTATAAAGTTTACATTTGTAAAGAAAACACTTCATGTTTACCTTTACAAGGTCTAGCTCAATAAACCACTGCTCCGATTATTCTTATTCAAACATGTAAACACAATAAACCAATATTCATATACATGTGTATATCTTGACCAGCCCCTCCAACTCTGTCCTGCCACTTGCTACATACGTAAACATAACTATATTTCCGTGAAAAGTAGGGGTGACTCGGTAGTTAATCTAGGCAGAGTCAATGTTGTATCGTACTGTGCTTTCTATTGAACTCTGCCTTGTTTTACCGAAAGAGCTGCTTGGGATCAATTCATTTGGCTCGGCCTTGAGAAAATTAGACAGTTTGGCAAAGACGTTTGGCTGCGAGAATGTTTATATTCAGTTAAGATGCCAAGGGAGGATTAGCCACGTAGACCCTAAATTATCCTAACGTCGTCTGGTGCTAGTCTCAAAGCAGAGATTTTGGCTTCGACTTATTGTTGACGATTCGTTTTATCTGGCTTTCTTCTTTGTACTATTATCTTTTTACGGGTGGCCTGTATTGGGTACTGCCCTGGCAATTTTATACTGCCCTGCAGCTACCTAAAATCTGGTTGGAGATTAGCCTGGTGCGGGAAGGACTTTAACTTCTTTTAATGCCGTCTGGACAAAATTAGAGCAAGTTTGGCAGGCAAGTTCGGCTGTGAAAACATTTTTATCTTCAGCTATATTTAGTAACTGTTTAGCTTTTCATGTGACCCATGAGAGCGAAAGAAGATTGTCCTTCTGACATCCGGATTAGAATAGACACATTGTAGCAGATAGAGGCTTGCACTGGATACATTGTACATGTAGGAGAGTAACAGACATATATACATTGTAGCAGAGCTTTCTGTACATAGACACATTGTAGCAGAGACGTGGCACAACAGAATAGACACATGGCAAAGTTTGTAGCAGATAGAGACGTTCACTAGATACACTAGTACTGTCAGACGTTTCACACATAATATTAGACACATTGTAGCAGAGTAACAGACACATTGTAGCAGAGACTTCTGCACATCAGATCCACTGTTTGTTGTACTTGTCGAAAAGGCCTAGGGCTAGGAGCGTACGACGAACCTGCATCTACCGTATATATCATCTGTCATTGAAAAATGCCTTAGAACTGGTTAGAGATCACTGCCGCGTTTTTGTGGCGTTTCTTTATTCATTTATTGTTTCATGTGGCGAGCTCACAGTGAAGCGAGAAAAAGTCTAAGAAGACGCAGGAAAATGCCCAAGAAAAAAACGTACGAAAACAAACCAAGGGCGTTTCTCTTCGCTTTCATGTCACATTGACCTGTTTTCCAGGTGACCTCTGGGTCAGACACACATCTTTTAGGAGAATAAACCGATGTAGCCTCTACCAGGCTTTCAGGTTGCCAAAAGAGGAGAAATTGGCCATATATACTGACAGTGTCGTCAGACGAGAGGCTAGAATGTTCTATCTCCTTGCTGACCAATTGTCCTCCTATCCAAGTTTATCTCCAAGCAGATCTTTCGGTTGGGTGGCAAAAGACAGTATCCATTGGCCATCCTGTATCCATTGGCCGTCCTGTATCCATTAGCCAACCTTCGGTGGCTAATGGACACTCCTCTGGCCAATGGATACTGTCTTGCCACCGAAAGATCTGCTTGGAGATTAATCCAAGTAGGTATCATACTTTTATGTTCGTGGGTCATCAATCTTCAGTATGTTATCAAGTTTTGCTCTCCTGGACGACTATCTGTCATTTTGCCACAGGTGAGACAACTGATGGAGAGGTTGAACTCAAATAAACCCCAACACTAATAAACTCTGAAACGTGCCCGAGACTCTTATTTTTACTCCGCGTCCCAAATCGCATGGCACCCACCCAACCCCGGAGCGACGTGCCGACAGAACGTGTGTGGGTGCGCGGAAACTCGCCAACATCCGTCACCCTGCCCCGGACACATAGCCTCTACCAGGCACCACGGATCGCTGGAAAAATAGTAGAAATTGGCCGAAATAAAGGGATAGTATACCAGAGAAGATCCAGGGCCATAGAAGCTCCACGGGTCGCAAATTGGAGCTTCTATGGCC